AGCGCCCGCTGGCACCAGCACTCTGTCGGAGGGGATCAGCTGCCTTCCGGCCGCATCGACCCTCTCCAGCCGCTGCCTCGCCATTGTTCGAGCAGGGGAAGGGCTAGTCTGAAAGGTCCTGCGTTGGAAGAGCTTGAGGTAGCAGGAGAGGTCGTGAGTCCACCCTTTCCTGCTTACGTTTTGAGATAACTGTGGCCGCAACAAAGCTATTAGGGACAGTTCATTGTGGTTTCCACTTTCTAACTTGCAGACAGAGGCTTTGTTGAGTCACAAAAACTAGATTTTGAGGCGGGTTTGACTCCTGTACAAGGGTTTAGGAAAACTTACTAATGAGGAGTGTATTCAGGTGGCTTTCAAGACTAGGTGAGATTGCACAGAGTGTCTTTTTCAAAGTGTTATCTGCTCTGTATTAAGCTTTGCCAGAGATCTGCTGGAGTACCTTGGTCTTACCATCTCTTCCTGCTACCACCCAGACTGTGATGGATCAGTGGTGGTACCTGATGCTGTAACTGATGACACGGACAGAACTTGGGATTTAGCTTTGAGGCTGACTTTTTAATTTGATGATTTAATAGAAGGTGCCTATTATATCTTAGTTTAATAAAGGTCCCAAATAATTGGCAGTGTTAAAATAAAATATTCAGTACTATATTTTATGCAGAGACTTTCTTGGGTATGTTTTTTGTGTTGTGGTTTTTGTTTTGTTTTGAGTGATAGACAATCACAGTCGTTATAAAACCACTCTTGAAAAACAAGGCTGTTCTCTGAAGCATAACTTTTGGTCACTGCCTCTGAACAGATCAAACTTGCACCACTGTTAGTGGGTTGTAAAGTTTTATATCTTATTGTCTGGCTCAAGCTCTTTAGTTGCTCAGTTTTGTCTCTTTCTAGGGTTTATCTTTTTCCCAGAGGTAAGTTGCTTCTGTAGTTTGATATCCGTTGCTATTGCTCGACTAAGCAAATGAATGTACATATACCAGCAGCACAGAGTGGCACAGCGCTGTTACTACCTCTCTATCCAGTGGGTGTAATTTATTCATTTTTTTAATATGTGAAAATCTTCCTAAATAAAGGTTATGTTTTTGGAAATATCTTACGGTAAGTCTTACAGGCAAGATCTTCAGAAGTTTCTTGAACAGTTTCCAAAACAAGGCCTATACCATTCAGTACATCATAGTATTAAACAACAGATTAAACCTGCCTGTCATGACTTGTACTATCTAATGTGAAGTATTTCCACTTTTCATCTACTGAAATTCTTCCCTTTTCAGCCTATACTTACCCTATTTCAATTATAAAAGCATGATTTTTTTTTTTTTAATAAATGACCTGGTGGATTTATCGGATGACATTCTATTTTCAATAAAATTAGTGGATCCAGTGGTTGACTCAAATGAGGTTAGTTCTTGCTCGTTACATCATTCACTGTTGTACACAGAGATGACACTAAGTGCAAACACTTGGAACTTTCTCATCATAAGTTGATCTCTTTGGCTAACTGGATTGATGTCCTTTTTTTCTGAACGTGTTCCAATTTATCATCCTCTTTCTAATAGAATTTTCCACAGCTGAGTGCAGTATTTCATAGAATTGTTTAGGTTGAAAAAGACCTTTAAGATCATCAAGTCCAACCGTTAACCTAGCACTGCCAAGTCCACCACTAAACCATGAACCGAAGCACCACATCTACACAGCTTTTAAATACTTCCAGGGATGGTGACTCAACCACTTCCCTGGGCAGCCTGGTCCAATGCTTGACAACCCTTTCGGTGAAGACATTTTTCCTAATATCCAGTCAAAACCTCTCGTGTGTTTTGTTGTTTCCTCTTGTCCTATTGCTTGTTACTTGGGAGAAGAGACCAACACCCACCTCGCTACAACCTCCTTTCGGGTAGTTGTAGAGAGCAATGAGGTCTCCCCTCAGCCTTCTTTTCTCCAGGCTAAACAACCCCAGCTCCCTCAGTCGTTCCTTATAAGACTTGTGCCCTGGACCCTTCACCAGCCTCGTTGCCCTTCTCTGGACATGCTCCAGCACCTCAATGTCCTTCTTGTAGTGAGGGGCCCAAAACTGAACACAGTATTCGAGGTGTGGCCCCATCAGTGCAAAGGGACAATCACTTCCCTACTCCTGCTGGCCACACTAGTTCTGATACAGGCCAGGATGCCATTGGCCTTCTTGGCCGCCTGGGCACACTGCCGGTTCATGTTCAGCCGGCTGTCGACCAACACCCCCAGGTCCTTTTCCGCCAGGCAGCTTTCCAGCCACTCTTCCCCCAGCCTGTAGCGCTGCATGGG